CCATTGCGTAACGGAGGGAGCGGTCTATGTCGGAACAGGTCGTTCCTATGTCTGCAGCTACGTTAATGTGGTCATCCACCCAGTGATAATTGAAGAAACCGGCCGGAGAAGCTGCGTTGGTATGGCAGCCATGAACGTGGGAAATCGCTCCGCCGAAAATCTCGTAGAATCCCGGAGAGCCTGTCCATCCGAAAGGCGCGGAAAGCTCGATCACCAGGGCGTTCTCTTCCTCGATCAGCCCGGAAAACAGGTAGACGCTGTTGCTGTGGATGCTAATATTCCGGAAGGCTGTAGCGACGTCGCCCGCCATCACATAGATTGGTACATCGGGGAATTCTTGCTTTGCTTTCAGGATCTCCCGTGCTACCGCGTCACAGTGGATGTAGTCAGGTTTGGTAATGCTGTCTTGATCGGTGCAATCGTTGACCGATGTTCCTTCAGGATATGACAGATCGTGGATCGTACGTCCGGAAACCGTGCTGTCCTCGCTTCCCTTGTCCACGACGCCGAAGGGACTAATGATTATCTCTGGCCACTGCTTCAGAAGATCCATGTCGAGGACCAGGCACCTCCCAGCATCTTGCTCTTTCCTGATATTCTTGCGTAAGATATTAATTCTGCCCCGAGCCGAGCCATGATTCACTGGGCGAACTGACTGCCGAGGTGGTGTTTCTTTTAGCTGGACTTCGACACCTTCTTGAGCAATCTTCTGCATCTGCGCCAAGTGCTTATATTCTCTGCACAGTTCGCCAAGAACCGCTGGAACCAAATTCTTGTTCGGACGGTAATCCCGCTCCGTTTGTCCCCGAACCAGCTCCACGAACGCCGGTAGCAGTAAAGCTGAACGGCGTGCGAGCTCCGACAGAGAGCGTTGCAATTACTTATTAAGCACGTATACAGGTCCATCAGCGCCTTCTTGCGTTGTAGGGAAATCAGGCGCTGGTAGCTTTATGCCGAAGCTGGCCATGGCCTTCCCGAGCGTAGCCGATTGAACTTCTCGATTCAGGTCCCGTCGCCGACGTGCATTCTCATGCATTTGGTCCGCGGTTTGACTTGAAACTACACGGCGACGTGAGGTTCTTTCGATCCGAAGTATGTTTCCTGTGCCATCTCTGTTAGCCGAGTGTAGCTTGTCTGGATTTGCTTGACTTGTACCCGAAGTCGAAGGCATGCTTGTAGATATATCAGGATTCATCGGAATTTGGACCTTGGTAGACTTCGTATTATCGCGTCGGTCGTTTCGTCGTGTATTCTCGCTAGTGTACAGATCGTCTGACCTGGATGGGCTGCACCCCGGGGGGCGTGTATACGTGGATGGCTGTATAGACGACATGGATTGTATAGTCAAAGCAGGCCGTATACTGTATTGCCGACCCAGACTGTATAGTCAAGGGTGGCTGTATACCCGGAGGTAACTGTATAGTCGACCCGGACTGTAAAGTCAAGGGGGGCTGTATAGCCGTGGGTGACTGTATGGTCGACCCGGACTGTATAGTCAAGGGGGGCTGTATGGCCTTGGGTGACTGTATGGTCGACCCGGACTGTATAGTCAAAGGAGGCTGTATAGCCGAAGACGTCACTTGTCTCGATTCACCGCAGGTTAGGGTGAACCTGGAAGGCGATGAACCCGGTACATCAGCAGGTAAGGAGAGGATTTCATTGGCGAAACGGAGGCCTTCCGGAGAAATTTCTCGCTCGCGCGGCAAAATCCTCCCCCACCGCTTCGCTCCGACCCTAACCTCCGCCCCCAAACTCTCTTCGGTCGGAAAGGGCGTGTCCGAACACAGTTCGCTAAGGATGCTCGTAGCCAGAACTTCTGCAGAATCTTGTGTATTATCCTGCTTTATCTGGTTCTCGTACCGAAAGGATGTCGAGCTACAATCCCCCCGGCCCCATCAGCGACGATCGCCTTGGTTCGTGTGATGGGAGCCATACGTGCGATCAACCCAGTCTTGTAGACGCGCAGGTAGCGGATCCGGCCAATTGTGGACACGCTTCGAGTTGCCGCACCGGTCTCGCGAGCCTCCAGAGCATGGAAGCCCCGCCACATTCAGGAGGCAAGGCTCTTGGCCGCGACGGTTCAGTGGTATTAGCCGTCGAATAGCACCCGGAATTGCGGGGTTGCGCTCATGGTCGCGCTTCCCGTTGCCGCGCGTCTCTCGAGATACTTGTTTCTCCTGGGCGAGTACGCTTACAAGCGCCATAGCCCATCCCGTGGAGTGGTAC